CTCACACGTCGGAGTAGCCACAGTAGTAGACGGCGCTGCTGGCGTCTGAGACGGCCGAGGAGATGGGACCCGCGCCGTCGGGTGCCGCCAGCCCGGCCGCGTCGTGGCCGGCGAAGGGCAGCCCCAGCTCGGGTTTGCAGGCAAAGCGCAGGTACTGCTCGAACTCCGTGCGGTCCACCTCGCCCAGAAGCTCCTCGGGCGGCAGCTGCTCCAGCTGCTCCCGGCACGGCGCGGCCTCGGGCGGCGGGGACGGCTGCCCCACGGGCCCCGACGGCAGCGGCGGCGGGCCGCGCCCCGGGCCGGGCGGCTGGCACGCCTGCCCGTAGTACGCGTGCAGCGGCGCCGGGCAGCCCAGCAGCCCCTGCAGCGACCCGCCCGGCCCCAGCGCCTCGCCGGGTGCCAGGTGCCGCCGCAGCGACGCGCCCGCCGGGCTCTCGCCCGCCGCCGGGTACTCGGCGGCCGCCGGGTGCGGGGCGTAGCCATAGGGCACCAGCGCGCACTCCTCCTGCAGCCCCGCCGCGAAGAAAGGCGCCTCGCTCTCCGCCGCGTCCAGCGGCGACGGGTCCGGCGTCGGCAGGCTGTAGCCGTCGAACGCGGCGCCCAGCGGCGGACAGTCCCGGTAGTGGCCCGCGCCCGCTGCCCCGTAGCCCTGCTCGGCGTAGGGCAGTCCCAGCCCCTCCACGCACATCCTGCCGCCGACGCTGCCGCCGCCGCCGCCGCCCTCGCTGCCCAGCCCGGGCCCCGCCGCCGCCTCCGCCAGGCCGTGCTGCAGGAAGCCGCTCTCCACTCGCTTCAGGCGCTTCACCTGCTTCCGCCGCCGCGGCCGGTACTTGTAGTTGGGGTGGTCCTGCATGTGCTGCACCCGCAGCCGCTCCGCCTCCTCCACGAACGGCCGCTTCTCCGACAGCGACAGCGCCTTCCACGATTTACCTGCACCCACCAACACCGTCAGATCAGCTGCCCACCGGGGCGCCCCCGCGCCCGGCCTCGACACCTCCGCCGCCGCCCCCGCCTACAGCCCGGATCCCGAGCTCATCCCAGGTGCCTGCTCCTCGCCCTCGGACCCGCCACCCCGGCACCTCCACCGCACCGGGACCCCTGGCCCGACAGCGCACGGGTCGCCCCGCTCCCCGCCCGCAGCCCGGGCCCTGGAGTCCGCCTGGGCTCCTCTCTCTCGCGGATCCATCCGATGGGTCCCCCTCCCTCCCGCCGGCCCGCGCTCACCCAGCATCTTGCTGAGCTCGGCGTTGTGCAGGTCGGGGTTCTGCTGCGCCAGCCGCTTGCGCTCGTCCTTCGCCCACACCATGAAGGCGTTCATGGGGCGTCGGATCCGCGCCTCGCTCTTGCTCCGGCCTCCCGTCGCCCCCGACGGCGCCGCCTCGCCCTTCGCTTTCGCCTCGCCCAGCGGGCTCAGCGACTCTGCCCACGGGCACATGGCCGGCATCATGATGGGCAGCGAGCACCGCCCCTGTGCCTGGTCGTCGCTGCTGGCGTAGCCCGCATCGGGGCTGCTCATCGCGGGACGGCCCGAGACGCGCCGTGAGTCGCTGCCACCGCCAAGGCCCAGAGCTCCGGCGGGGCCACAGGACGGACTCGGCGCTCGGACCCCGCTCGCTGCTGTC